CATGTATGTAAGTAAGTACATCCTTTTAGTGATAACGGTGGGGAAGGGGGGATGGAAGGGAAGTGGGTAGAGCGTTTACTTTTGTGGCACCTTGAGGATTGAGCATCCCAGGAGGTTTCAAACGTGTTTAGGCTGGGGAGAAACAACTGGTGGTTGAGGTATAACAACAACACACAGCGTACATGATCCGTCCAGATGGTGATGCGATCGAGTCTTTCCCAGAGACCCTTCCATCTGGCGGTCAGTCAGGCAAACATTGGTGGTGGTGGTATTTTTGTCGCTTTGTCGCTTTGTCGCTTTATCCACGGCAATGACAAACACGACTCGAGAATCAAAACAACTCGTGCGCTGATCGCGAGAAACGTGAAAAAGGAAAAAGAAAAAAAAAAAAAAGAAAGATAATCTTCAGCAGAGATGGAAGTCTAGCCCTTGGTGGTGGGAATTAAGGAAGAGAGAGAGACTCGGTCCTCCCCCCAATGCGCGGTATCCGCCCGGCTATTTCCTTAAGCCCTGCTTATGCGGTGTTCCTCCTTACAGTCGTTCGGTCGTCCCCTGGTTGTATTGTATATCCAACAAACACATAATCATCAGCAGTTGATACGGGTGATGAAGGTACCATGGAGTTGTGGTCTCGACCATGGAACCCTAGGGTACACGAACCAGAAAGGCTTTATCCGCTGTCAATGGACATTAGTTTGATGTATTGTCAAGCATCTGGCACGAACCGACGGGGAGCCAGAACAAAGAAAGTTCTGGATACCCGTTCCCCAGTCTAGTGATTGACCCACCATCAGGTCCCATCCATGAATCCATGAATCCCATATGATGGCTGCCCAGTTGTGGAGTAATGACTAACATCTACGTACTCAATAGTTACTCTTGTGCCTGACTTTGTTTCCCCCTTTTACTATTACTACTATAGGAGGCCCGCAGTAAAATGAACAGTGCTCAATTCTTTCACATCATCATTATGCTTGATATTGGCAATTGTCCCACTAAACATCAAACCAACATGAGCAGACAACACTCCCCCATCTGTGAGCTTACTATGCCTGCCATACCGACCAGACCCTGCGCAACGCTCGGCTATCTGCATATAAGCATCACCTGCTTGTCCTCTGCCACCCCCAAACTATGCGGACAGTGCCAGCGGCCCCCCATTCTCCCGTCCAAGGCTGTTTTCCCCGGGGCTGATTATTTATACTGAGTACTGAGTACCACCATCTTCACATGAGTCTGGGGCCAGCGGCGGAGCCAGGCTTACTTCTCCACGGACCACCACCACCCCTCTAGAGTCGACTGGGTCCTCCTCCGTTTCAGCCACGAACAAGTCCTACTTCCTAGTACGTACACACTCCGTAGTTCCCACCTCATCAACTAGCCAACCCGCCAACCCGCTGCCAACATTGCGAATGAACAGTACTGTACAATCTCCGTGCGGAGGACCGGCGCGGAAAAGCGCTTCCAGATGAGA